TGGTTATACACATTAGATCTGAGCTTCAATTTCCATAGATGTTTTTGCATATGCAGTACATTACACATACATTGCCTTTTTCTCCCCACAAGTATTTTTAGTGTTGAATGAACATTATTTATTCAATTGCAAAATTATTATTTTTGAATGAAATTATACTGTAAATATAGGTATCTACAGTTATATGCTTATCTCTGGGATCATGTCGTCCAGATAAAAAAACCTGGGACTTCAATCTAATTGAAAAATTAATTGTGGAATTGCATACAAGGTCATGCCCAATGCCAAAGTATTTCGATGCATAATTTAATCTCACTTAAAACATACATATATATTTTCCTACCCATTTCTTTAGAGAGTGTCTTCAGAATATTTTATAGCCCTAAAATCATTCCCCTGAAACCTTTTAATTTTTGTGTTTTGAAGATTTTTAAATCCCCAAAATAGTAAAACTTTGTCTCTGGCCCACTGAAAGATTAAGACTAGGAAAAACTAGCAAGCTTCTCCATTTAGAGTAGCCAAGGTTCATCAGTAATCATTTCTGCAGAGGAAAAAAAAAAAAAAAAACAAAAAGAAAACCAAAGGAAATGTTATAAAAGGTTACCTTCTCACAATAACTAAAATTAGCTTTTTCTTTTCAAAGACAAGAAAAAGTGTAGCTGTACCGCAGAGTGCTTAGAAAGCACTATCTTTCAAGATAGGAAAGAAATTCCTGGTGACATAATTTTTGGCCAAAGCTCAAAGGCTACTGTGAAGGGATACAGCTTTTTCCAATTATTCCTTACGTAAAGATCAAAATGAAGGCAAAGGGCCAATTCTTAGAGATACGTCATCCCAAATGTGCTGCGTGATTACCTACATACTCATTGCATATGTGAGAAGTATTTTTTAATCAGTAAAGCCACAAATGCTCCTTAAGTAGAACTGAAGTAGAATTATTTTTTCCCCACTCTGCCTTCCCTAATAATGAGGATGATCAAAGACCAAAGTGGTCTACACAAAGCAGTGTTGATTCTACTTACGGAACACTGAACCAGTCAAAAACAGCATTGTGAGGCCATGTTGGTTTTTTGGGGGCCAGTAGGGTACACACCCTGTCACCCAGAGTACTAGTTTTGTTCCAAAGAAGCAGAACAAAGTTCTGAAAGCCAGGACACTCTTTTTCAGGCCTCTGCCTATACAGAATAGTTATAACAATTTAATCCAAATTATTTTCAAACAGGTCATACAGAACAGTTATACCAATTTAATCCAAATTATTTTCAAACAGGTTCTGACTGCATAAATGCCTAAGCAAAAGCAATTTACATTACCATACTTTATTTTGTAGCTGAAGTGGGCTAGGAATGCACACCCACTCGGTTACCGTGACTCAGTCACTCAAGAGTATCTCTTTAAGCTACAATAGCTTGATTACTTGCAACTGCTTATCTCTACCTGAAAAGAGCTGAACTGATTTTGAACCAGACAATTCAAGCAAGCTCACACTTCTGAATTTAACTCTGAAAACCATTATCAACCAGTCCAAAGTTTCCACAATGAATTTCCCACCAATGTAATTACCTTTCCCTCATTTATCTTTAAGTGTATGGTTAGGTACCACAGCACAACTTTTTGTCAGTCTGAGTGTCAGGGCATGAGCATTAAGGAACTAAAAGCATACTTCAAATACACAGCTCTCTCAACTCCCATGTTCAAAAAGAAGGCTCCGTTAGGTGTCAAATAAGCTCCACAGGAGAGAAAACAGAGTGATTCCTGCACGCTATCCAGTGTCACCAGACCCAGCTGATTTGTTCACCCCTGCAGCCCTGAGGCCGCTCTGCAGATGCAGTGCAGGGTGCTCATCGACACCTTTCACATGTGCCTGAAGATGGGAGAGCAGTGGCCACAGGAAGGCAAAGGACAGGACACCGAGGGGCTGGTCCTGTATCCTTTCCCAGAGCTCAGCTCCATCCAGCCCCACTCCATCATACCCTTCCGTTTGCCTTCAGGGACATACTTATGCTCCAAGGAAGAGGGCTCCTCACCACCATTTCAGGCCCACTGTTCCCCCTGCATTTTTGGGGGACAGCAATGGGCTGAAGCAGGAGCATGCCGACTCAGGCTCTCCCTCTCTACATAAAGCATCCACCTGTTTACACACCCACTTCCCAGTGCCTTCCCCTGACATTTCCTCCCAGATCACCACAAGGGAAAGGGATGGTCTCTCAACACTCCTATGACAAAACACTACCCTATGAGAAAGGCTTTATGAACAAAGATGCATTTAGTGCTGGAAGCACTGTTAGCAGTACGTAAAATAAGCCCATTCTCTCCGTCCTTGCTGTCATTCCTGACAGAGCACACAGATGACACAAAACCAGGGAGAGAGTAATGCTCTGGTGAGGGACTTTAAAGTTCTCTTGAAGAAATTAGGGAACCACTCGAGGGAAGATGACACTATGCCTGGGCAAGAGCCTTTTGCAAAAGTAAAGCTGGCATCTCAGGAGTGGAAGGCAGCAGACATCGTTGGGAAAATATCCATATGATGGAAGTAACAAGTTTGACAGAGCTGGATATAAAAGTTTTAAACTACAGAATGAGTATCATACAAAGCAGAGCTGTGCAAACTTCCCAGTGTTCAACTCCAACAGTACTATGAAAATAATACCACAGCCTTGGCCTTTTCTGCTTAAATAACAAGCTGTAAGCAAGAGCCAAAGATGTCTATCATTTGGAGAGTAAAAAGTAGACTGAGACTGCACTCTCACTCTACAGATAGCTACAAAGATTACATGAAGATAGGACTGTAAAGACATATCTTTAAGTCCCTGCCAACCTAATCAAGATGGTATTAACAGTGATCTCACACTCCATCTGCCTGGCTAGTAATTTATGAAAAACGTACTTCACTATTACAGGAAAAATATGTTGCACTGCTTGTGGCCACAAACCTACTCAGGAACTCTTGGATCAGAGGCCGTGAGACCAGTTCTTGACATTTACCAGGTACTGCCCATGAGATCTGATTCATATTGTGATTTTGTTTGTTTGCCCTACTGATGATCTCATCTTCATACGAAGTACCTGACAAAAACTTACAGTCCCTTGCAATTTAGAGTGTAATACCACACAGTTCTGCTTTTCATCCTGTGAATTCTACAGACGCACTTGTCTTAATTTTATGGGATCCTTTTTATAAAAGAAAAGTCTCCCTGTTCTTGCATTGATCAGCATTCATTTCTGACTAAATTACTCATTCTCCTTCCAGAAAACAGAAAAATTCATCTTGCTTACAAAAACTGTATTTCTTCTAGTAGTGCATGCCTGTTCCTTTAGCTCCCATTGCCTAAGAATCAGACCTAGGGGGCTTGCTAGTTGCAGAAAGGATTTTTTTTTTTTTTTTTGGGGGGGGGTGGGTAGTGGTAGTGGTGGTGTCATTTTGTAAAACAACATGAAATCTTCAAAATTTCCATCAAGGCAAAGTTCAGGGGCAGCATCCTAATATCAGAATTACATAAAATGACCTCTGAGTATCAAAACAAAAAAAACCCCACCAGTATCAACACACTGGAATTAATTCCTAATTATGCATTTCTTCATTTAGCAGAACTACTGTTTGGATGCTCCTTCTATCTGCTGCAGTGAATAAGACTAGATATGCAATGAAGAACATGGTAAAGCAGGACAAAAAACCCTACTGTAGTTCTACAAACGTTCTTTCTACCATGCATTGGGGAAAAGGCATCCAGGAAACTACTAACTGCTATAAATGAGTAGGTTAGGATATTAAGACCAATAACTAGCAGCCTATGATCTAGTCAATTCCTAATAATATGAAGAACTTAAAGAAATCACTGCTTTTTATGCTGAATAGCAACGAGGCAAAATAAGCCTCCAATATTATTAGAAGGTTTGCACACTCAATATCATTTGTAAGACTTCTGTCACAATCAAATATGTAAAGTTTTCCTCCTCTAGTTGTGGGACAAGACATGGACTTGAAGCATGAGATCATTTTCTTACCAAATAAAATACCAAATTACTTTGTATACAAAGGCTGAGTCAATGTCAAGAACAATTATATCAAGAAAATAGGTAAATCCAGTGTCCGTAGCATTTTTTTTAGCTTCAGCAATGCAGACAAGGGAAACCCTTTCACTAAGTACACATGCTCTTGTGGCTCCAATACTCCTCTACAGAACTAAACATCACCATTTACTGTACTGCAGTACGAATACAATTTTGAAAGAAATTGGGTACATTTTCTAGTGTTCCTTTGAAAGTTTCTAGCTACGAAATCCAAAACTCATACTCAGGGAGATTTTTTGCTCCCTTAGTTTTGCTCCTCAAATACTCACATTTCTGTTCAGAAACACTCTATTTGCAAAACAAAAAAAAAAAAAAAAAAAAAAAAAAAACCCAACAGATTCATCTTTTAGAAACATTATTTGAAAACAAGAAATCGAAATGTCTTCACTTTAACAGATACACAGTTTGTAGCTTGCTAATATATGCAAATTGTCTGATTGCTTGAAATTACTGATTAACCAGGCTGGAGAGCTGATTACCTGATTATCCAAGAGAAAAATAATTTAGCATGATTTTGTGTCATTTGACAGTCTAGATAATTTTCCAATTAATTTGGGTTTTCAAGTTAATTCAGAGGTACGATTGAAAAAGAGAAAAGAGGTCAATGATCTGAATAAAGGTAAGCTTTTCAAGAATTTTCTTCTTACAACAATCATTTGTCAAACATTATTGTTAGTTACAGACACTCCAGACATACACACACAGAAATGATCACTTAGACCTCCAAAAATATTCAAAAACCAAACCATGATAAAATCTTCAGTGTACTTGTAAAGATATCTTGTAGAGCTGGACGTAAGATTAGTGGTGCACTAGTCTGACACATGGCAGTGTTACCAATAAATTCTGAACTACACATGAAGCAAGACGTAGCAGAGCAGATATTTTGTCAATATGCTGAGAGAATAATAAATACTGGAAATACGTACTTGCCACTGAAAAGTTGTTGAGTGGATATGGCAGATCCACATCCTGGGGCTTCTCCTTATAGCCTATGAAAGAACCATCTGTCTTTAACAGGAAATATCTTGGCCGCCAGTTTTTTATATATTCTCCTAAAGGAGAGGAAAAAAAAAAAGTGCATTAGTACTGTAAAAAAAAACCAACCTTTGATATTAGAAAACATAACATACTATCAGTGTCTAACATTAATTATACCAGAATCTTTTCAGATGTTTTCAATTTCCAAAAGAAGATAAAATGGAATTGCAGTGGTCAGCCTGCACTATACAATGAGGCCTCCGGAAGAAGCTACAAGCATCATATAGTAATATTCTATAATTCTAAATTTTATCATGCTATACTCTTCAAAATCCTACATCTTTACACCTATAAACAGTTCAAAATTTGCTGCAGGAAAAAATAAGCACTACAGCTTGACTTTTAATAACAAAATGAAATCTACACTACTACAAAGTAGAATATTTATCCTGCTGAGTCAAAGCAAAACCCATTAATTTCCTCAAAATGTACACTACGCAAATACAAGAAGATTATGGGTAGTGGGAGAACCTACACAAAATATACTTAACAAATATATCTGAAAGCAAAAGGAATACAAACCAAAAAACTAGAAGTCAATTACCTTTTAAAAGGCAAGTCCACCAATAAACCCAGCACCTCCACCCTTTCCCTCAGCCCAGCCTGAGCAGAAGATTCTGCCAGCCATAAGATATTCAGGACCAGAAACATACAGAACAGGTCAGCAAAGACACAGTAGCTTAATTAATGCCGCTTATTTTCAATTTAAGGGTTAAAAATCTCTTTGACAATGCCACACCATAATCTCAGCAACAATTTAATTTTTAAAGTGCAATTACTCAGTTAAGTACAGGTGAGTGTAGCTCTGCCCAGCTTTCCCCATCTTTGATTTCTATCAACTCTGCAAAATAAGTAACGTATGTACAAGTACTTACTAGAACTTCAAATAAGCCACCATTTCATCATGATACAAGTGAACATTTTGAGGATAAAAGTGTATGTAACAACGCAGAATTTCCAGCCATGCCTAGGACTTTGCACTGTTTGCAAAATGCTCAGCACTGAGCAGTCCATGGGCTGCCCTGGTCCTGGGCTTTGCCCAGCCCTTTAGTGCCATTTACCACCACAGCACCCTGTTAGCTGTAGCTATGTAGGTTTTAGACAATTCAAAGGTCAGAAAGAAATTTACATCCATCTGACATGGAGATTAGTCCATTAAAGGCTAATAAAAATTCACTAATCACATCTTCACTTTTCCAACAGTGTCATCAACTAATTGTCACTGAAGTTCAACATGGGGATTGTTAACATGGCCTTGCTGAACTCGATCACAACTTGTAAGCATTTTGACAACGTGCATGGCTTAAAAATCTAACTGCAGCCACTAACATTTCAGATTTTCAACAGGTATTTAAGCAGAAAAGTGGGGTAGGGAGTAGGAGATGGAGAAGAGGAAAGACAGAGAAATGAACACCAAGCTGTTCATGCTGACTTATGTTTCCTGGTGCTCAGTAGAGAAACTCTTCCTATTTAGTCCTGCTTCCAGATAGCAGTATACCTGCTTGATTTTGTTATCTAGACATTTTCATATAAGTAGAAAGAAAATCAAAAGTCAAAGTGTTACTTAGTTTGACCACAAAATTAACAGAGCAGATATAGCACTAGTTACACTTGTATTGACTCAGAGCTTTCTATCTCAGACCTCTGATGTTAGTTCGGCTGGGAACATACTGGCACTGCCAGTCTGAACTGATTTCTCAATGGGAAATCCCAGTTAACATAAAAGCAAACAATTAAAAAGAAAAAAAAAAAAGTATGAGATATTTATAAGTTAGAGAACAAATACAAATGCAGTATGGGAAAACAAATGTGTAACTTTAATACCAACAGTGGTGAAAACCTGTATCATCACTACCTGAAAAGGTAAAGACATTTCTTGAATTAAGCTTGCTGAATACTTGAAAAAAAAAATAATCATAGACAGAAGTAAAGGTATGACTCATATTTTAAGAACGTTTAAAATATGTTCGGCAACAAATTTGCTGAAATCTGCATAGTCTCAAAAGTTGAAGCCAAAACAAAACCTTACATATCAGGTCATCCAATGTAAGTTTTAAAAAAATTAACATCCTAGCTGCATTCTTAAACAGACCATAAAGAGACTCTTCCGTATAATTCTAATAAACTACATCTTATTTAGTTGTAACAGCAAGCAACTGTACGAGATAAAGTGCCCGATACCAGATTTAAAATCTATCAAGATCTCAGTAGCAGGCTCTGCTTTAAGAATCAGAGCTGACAGGGTAAGCACACTCGTTAGTAACTCCAGGAAAGAACAGAAGCCTTTGCTTACATACACCTTTCCAGAACTAAACCCACAGAAAAGGAAACCATTCTCACAGGTGCCCTTACAGACCCAGTGTGGATCTCCCTGATCACTTACTCTCTCTTTTCCTCTTAGGACAACACGGTAGATTGCATTGGGCTCCTACTAGGTACTCAGTCTCTTAATCAGAAAACTGAATAGATTTTTGATCATCTACTGAGTTATGCAGCTGATGTTCTGCCTGGAGAAAAACCATGAGAAGAGCTAGCACTTCCTAGCTCCTCTGAAGAAAGCTGGTGACTTTGGACAAAAGCTAATCACAAGAAGATATAAATACTGAATGACCAATAAGTACCGGTTTATCCACGAGCACAGCTGTACCTCTGTCTTCACCCCACAAAATATAGCCAGACACAGGACGTGTAATTTAAAAGCAATTGCAAGACACGATGGCTTCATAAGGAACCATATATTTCTTTCACAGACATATTTCTTTGAAGAATGTTTCTCCTGAATGGTTCCCCAACATGAATGATGGTCAGACTACTTTTTCAAGATCTCTGTACAAACACACACACACACGCAAAAACCCCCTTGTTTTGCCTCAAAACGACCAATACTCCAATCCCTCTTCAAGGCCTATACATGAATATTTATCATCTGCCCTTTATTTATTTTGTAATTTAATTAGCAAATGGACGAACACTTTTGAAGACTAAAGTAAACAGTGGTATCAGTGAACAGTTCACTTAGCTGCTCAAGTGGTTTAATGGCTCTCAAGATACACTCTAGGTGCCCTCTTATAACTGCATTCCTTCTCCGTAATCTGCTTAAAGATAGAAAAACATTTTAGTTCATACTTCTTTAGTTCATACTTCTTCATGTGCTTACTGAACTGCTTTGAAAGAGAAATCCTCCATGCAAAAAAATAGTTAAACACAGCAGAGTATTTTAAAAGAAAAAACACTTCCACATGTCTTCTAACTTTCAAGCCCATCATTTAGAAGAAAAAAAAAAAAAAAAAAAGAAAAAAAAAGTGTATTTTACAATATGGACAATATTGAATTACTTTAAAGATATTTGGAGTATATGTTTATCAAATACCTCAACACAAGCAAACAACAGGAAATTTACATCTGAAATTCATTAATTCAAGTGAAAAGCATTTCCATGAGAAAGCAGAAGTCCAGGCGGCTAAGCAAACCACGAGATATCCTGACAATTTAATGAAATGGAGTGTGGTACTTTAAAAAAGCAGTGGATCTGCCATAGAGAACTAATCAAGTCTGTAC